TCTTTGCACCAGTTCATTGACCTCCCCACTAGGTACATGGACGCCCAAGTGCCGTCTATTTTGGACCTTGTATTCGCTAAGTCACTCGATTTTGTTGATGACATTACTTACGGACCTCCACTGGGTTCCAGTGATCATGTTTGTTTGCTCTTCAATTGTACTCTGTCTAGACGCTACCATAGTACGGTTGAGCCTCGCCCGAACATATGGCAAGCAGACTATCAATCAATGAGAGCCAAGGCTTCTGGTTTCCATTGTGAGATCTCAGACGACGATATTGTCCAGGTTGCCTGGGATAAATTTAAGTCCTACCTCACAGAGGTCTCTGCTCCCTTCATACCAGTCACAAGGAGAAAGGAGGCCCGAGCACAGCCGCTCTGGATAGATCCCACTGGCAGGCATCTGCTCACAAAGAGGTCTAGATGTTGGCGGACTTACCGAGACGCTCCGTCCACCGATACTTATGACAGGTACCGTAAAGCTAGAAATAGGTGTAAGCAACACCTAAGGGATGCTCGGCTCAATTTTGAAAAAGGGTTAGCGGACGATGCTTCAGAGAATCCAAAAAGATTCTTCGCTTATATCAAAAGGCGCTGCGCTTCGAATATGTCAATTCCAGTGTTGATGCGTGATGACGGTACTCATGCTCATACGGACTATGACAAGGCCTGCGTACTCAGTGGGCAATATGCGGCAGCGTTTGTAAGGGAAACCTCTTTGAAAGGCGTTGGGCTGTTTTGCAGGACCCCAGAGGGTTCAGAACTATCTGAATTTATTGTAGCGGAGACTGCAGTTCGTAAGCTGTTACAAGGGCTGAACCCTTCTAAGGCCTCTGGGCCTGATTTAATTCACCCGAAACTGTTGCATGAGTTGGCTGCGGAACTGAGTGGACCGCTCGCTATTGTGTTTCAGAAATCGCTTGACAGTTGTGCATTGCCTTCCGAGTGGAAGGAAGCTGTCATCTGTCCCATCTTTAAACATGGGGACAGGGGTCTGCCTGCAAATTACAGGCCAGTTAGTCTGACGAGTGTAGTAGGCAAACTCATCGAGAAGCTGGTGAGAGATTCATTGGAGAGTCATTTGAGTAGGTTTAATCTACTTCGCAATGTACAACACGGATTCCGGAAGGGATTTTCGTGTCTGACGAATCTGTTGGTAGCTCGCGAAAATTGGGCGGATGCAGTGGATAACGGCCACACACTGGACGTGCTTTTCGTCGACTTTTCGAAGGCATTTGACAAGGTACCCCATTTGAGGCTCGCGCAAAAGTTGTCCTCCTACGGGGTATCTGGCCGCGCCCTTCATTGGGTGACTGACTTCTTGGAGGGTAGAGAACAATGTGTACGGGTAGGCCGGGGTCTATCATTTAGGCAATCTGTCCTCAGCGGCGTGCCGCAGGGCTCGGTCCTTGGACCGCTGTTGTTCTCTATCTATGTGAATGACCTACCCACGGAGCTTGAGGTACCATCGCTGCTATTTGCTGATGACCTGAAGCTGTGGAACATTGTTGATGTTCCTGGGGTTCCGAAGCTATTCAGCGAGCATTGGATAAGCTTTGGGACTGGTCTACTTTATGGTTACTGCCCATAAATCAGGCAAAGTGCTCCGTTCTTCGAATTGGAGGAGGTTGTCCTCCTGCGAAGTACTTGGTCGGTGGGGTCGAACTCCCCCGTGTATCTAGCCAGCTTGACCTAGGCCTCGTACACTCTTCGGCTTTACACTCCGGCGACAACTGGAAGAAGGCCGCAAGCAGAGGTTTCCGCATGTTGTGGTTAATCCGACGTTCTTTCGGAGTCTTGACGGGCGGCATCTTTACGAGGCTGTTCTCGGCTTTCGTTCAGCCTCATCTGGAATACTGCGTCCAGGCTTGTCCGCCCTGCCTCGTCCGGGACAAAATGGAGCTGGAGAGGGTTTTACGAGTGGGTACTAGGTTAGTCGAGGGATTACGGGGACGGACGTACCCCGAGCGTCTACTTAGTTTGGGAATGCACTCTATGCACTACCGAAGGCTTAGAGGAGACCTAATCCTAACCTACCGTATCTTGACTGGGAAGGTTGGTCCAGATTTACCTTGGCTATTCAGTCCCGCTAGATTGTCTGTTCTACGCGGTCATTCGTTGAAGCTGGACAAACCGCGGTCCGATCGGATTAGGGCGGAAATCCGGCTGTCACGCAGAGTCATCGACCGCTGGAACATGCTTCCGGAAAGTGTTATCAGGGAATCTACGGTTAAGGGGTTTGAGCGGCAACTTGACGCTCTTGGGTGGCAACACGAAACCTTTGCATTTTCCTGAGTAACTCGCATCTTCGTACTTCGATTTCCTTTTCTCTACTTTTCTTCACGTATTGGTATTATTTTCTTATTTAAGTGCACTTCCCTATTCTGTACCTTCGATTTCTCTTCCTATCCTTTGCTTATTTCACGTGACTGCCAAAGCAGGGACTGCTAGGGCAGGAAACGTGGGCATTCACTGGTTGGCCAGGGTGCGATACGGGTGTTTCCGTTTTAGATCCATCAATAACTGAGCACTTCATCAATTCCTGGCTCAACGATCCACTCAAGATGGAACTCTCACGGGATTCTCCTATCGTTCCAGTCCCCATCTGAACTGAACTGAACTGAACAGCGTTTGTCAGGCCACACTTGGAATACTGCATCCAGGCTTGTCCACCTTGCTTAGTAAGGGACAGTATGTCAGTGGAGAGAGTGTTGAGAGTTGGAACCAAACTGGTCCAAGGACTGCGGAACCATTCTTACCCGGAAAGACTACTTGCGCTGGGAATGTTCTCGATGCACTATCGTCAACATCGAGGTGAAGTAGTCTTGACCTATCGTATACTTACGGGTAAAATCGGACCCGATTTATCCGGGCTTTTCCAACCAGCTCGGCTTCCATCGCTCGGAGGTCAATCGCTGAAGCTACACAAACCTCGATCGGATGGAGTCCGAACGGACTTCCGTTTAGCACGCCGAGTGGTGGATTCCTGGAATGCACTGCCCGAGAACGTGGTGTTGACACCAACAGTGAAAGAGTTCGAACGCCGACTCGACGCTCTTGGCCTTTTAATTTTAAAACATTCCCCTTCACGTCCAAGCTTAGTCGTCTTATTGAATTATTAGACCTCTTAGCTTTTTCTTTTTTTTCTTAACGCTCTTATTGCTTTCGTACTTCTCTTTCTTATTTCACGTGACCGGTGCGGCGGGAACTGCCAGTGCAGGTCGCGTGGGTATGGTAACGTGCTGCACAACGGTCGATGCAAGGGGTAATAAATAACAGTACCGGAGGTACATCCGACACTTGGAAATAAGACGAGTAGTATGAACATACGTCCGCGTGTGAACATTGAAAGATAATTACGAATGGACGATCATAAATGCCATAATGTGATGTTAAACGTTAAAGCATGTATGTGTTGAAATGGACGACCGAAGGTCGAAGGAGGTAGTCAGGAAATACGAAATGCTGGTTGCCATGACAGCCACCGTCGCTGCGTGGTGAAATGGTGATGTAATCTGTAAGGGAAGATATAGTGAGAGATGACACTGACATATGGTAGCAGTAGGACTTGCGCTATGTTTTAAAGGTTTAGAGGGTTGCCTATTCCGGGAGCCCAGAGAGCGATTCCAGAAGACGGATCAATTTGCAGGGAAACTTTTATTGGTTCAGCAAAAGATTCCCTGTTAGCTAGCTATAAACGAACGACACCGTGGACGCTCTAGCTAGGGGAACAGATCAAGCACAGCACACAGAGCAGTCGCGCGTTGCAACCGAAGCGAGCGCCAAGCAAAAATGGCGATAAGCAAGTAAAGCATTCGAACTCAGCAATCAGTTCAACAAACCACACCGGTTGCCTAAGTGTACAATTATAGAATTTTGGTTAGAATTTTACACAAGCAAACCGGGGAATCTCCAGACTGCTACATAGCCCTCTCCAGAAGGGACTGTGTAAGCAGTCCTTCGATCTACGTGAGGACTGTCCGTCGCGGGCCAGCCTTCTGCGAGACCAGGTTGTGAAACCCGATGCAGCTGCTGGGGGAGAACCATGCAATCGGACCCTAGCGGGCTCCCACCCGTGTCCTCCCTACGGTGTCGAAACGGTAAAAAAAACTGTTTGTAGGGGGGGGACAGTTTAATAAAGTTCACGTAGGCAATTGAGCAGGAAGATTGTTGAACTTCCAGTTGACGTGCGGAGATCCAGCGGAAAGTGAAACCGAGGGGCAACCAACCGACGGTGTATATGGAAAGCAAAACGAAAAAGCAGCATAAATGCATAGCCATACACAAAACAGTGCAAAGC